TCCCTTCCCCAAGGACTGAAGTTAACACTTATGCAACCAAGACCCTCCAGATCTCAAACCAAAAAGGCAGAGTTTAAAGCACTCTCGAGTTGGTGCTTCTTCACCTTTGATCCTGGGCTGCTCGGTACTTACTTACAATCACCACCACCACAATGGCACAAATCACTCCCATCATGATCATCATCTGGAGAGAGAGAGAGAGATTGTCAAAGAGTAATACTCAGAACAGATTGGCAAGTTCACATCTTCCCTGACAGCCAGGGAACATAAGCCAGACCCTGAAGGCAGGACAGCCAAGGCGTCAGTCTTTCCACAGTGAAAGAATCCTAGGCATCTGAAAGAGTTATTAAGCCCCAACCACCCTCTCAAAGCCCTGCAGGAGAGGAGTACCCCATTTCCCTCTAACGAAGGAGAGGAGGGCACTAGGAAACTCACCTTGCAGTTCTTCCACCAGTACTTCCTTTTGAGTTTTGCTGCGCTGCTTTCAAATTGTGAGGCGCCGGCCTGAAGTGCATCTGCCCGGTCATCTAGCTCTGACAGTTTCTGGTCTCGTTCCAGCACCTTGTCTACGTTTACACGCATTATATCAACCACCTGCAGAAGGAAGAATAGCAGCAGCAGTTGTATTGGTAAAGAGAGTTGAAAAAGTAGGAGCAGTAACGTGGCCAATAACTAACGCTAAGGCACTAACAAGCGAAAGCCCTAAACAAAGAAAAAAAGGTCAAGATATGAAACAGCTTCCAAGTCGTTGCCTACTTTGAAGTGGGGGGGGGGGGGAAACCCTGTTAAAGTATCAGTTCAAGTACGCTTAAACCAGGTCCTCAGCCCCATTCTCCCCCGTTTTTAAAAAGCTCTCAAATCCAGCAAGCCTAAGGCACCCTCCTCACCAGAGTCATCTTATGCTCACCCCCGAGCAACTGCAAAGAGCACTTAGAGCTACATGTTGCTGCCCCAGTGAGGCACAAAGGCGTTACTGCATGGCAGCAGCCACGCTACGCTGACCCTGGGAAGTCAGGCAAGGTTCCCCTCACATCCCACCTTCAGCCTGGACCCTTCCCTTCAAGCAGCAGGCAGGGACCGAGAGCTGTTCTGGATGCTGTAGAGCTTTCTTTCCATAACAGATACGAGGCACCAACAAAATCGAACAGGCCTGCTCCTTAGAAGTCCTATCTGGAATTAAGCAGCTTTTAAACGTAAAGCAATTTCGTCTCTCCCCCGAGCTCTTTATGGGTCTGGCACCGTACTTGGAGTATCGGGGATTAATGCACTGCTGGTAGGGGCATGAGGAGAGCGCCCAGCCCCTCAGCAGCAGCCGCCTGTCGAGAGCAGCGCTGCTGCAGAGCAGGGGAGCCCCGGGGAAGCCGGCGGGGCGGGCAGAGCTACCAACCTCCTCCACTTGGGCCTGCGTCTGCTGCAGGCCGCGGGTTTTTCCTCGGGTTGGGGGGGGGCC